GATTGTCGTACCGCCTGTAAATACTTGATCATTGCCGGATGGGTCGCTTCGTATTCACCATTGTACTGACTCACTATCAGTTGTGAATCAGAACAGGCGTCTATCTTTCTTGCCCCAGCCGCCTTGCACATGCGGATTCCGGCTAGTAAAGCTTCGTATTCTGCCTCATTGTTTGAAGCCTGAAAATTGAAACGTAGAGCGTACTCGTACCTGTCGCCCTCTGGCGACTGACATATGACGCCTGCTCCACAACCATTTGAAGTAGAGCTTCCGTCCACATATACCTTCCAGACTTGGTCTGAGGCTTGAGAATCAGGGGGACGAGTCATCTCAACAATAAAATCAGAAAAGGCCTGCCCCTTCACTCCTTTCCTAGGCTCGAATGTAACTTCGAGGCTCTGAATTTCAATGGCCAATTTGATCATCCGGCCTGACGACTCCATGGTGGTCAGTGGCCTCTTGATAGGTTGATCTGTATACACAACGACTGCATGTACCAAAAAGTAGGGCTTCAATTTTTTGATGGTCATGAAGAGTGCGAGGCCGAACTTCTCCACTAAGGGATACCTCAACTCGGCATTTTTCAGTACATGGCTGACAAAGTAGACCGGGAGCTGACAGCCGTCTCTTTTAGCAAGAAGGACAACGCTTAAAGCATGATCAGAGACGGCCAGGTACATGTAAGGTATTTCTTTAGGCAAAGGACTAACCAGCCTCGGCAAGGAATGCAAATGAACTTTCAACTTTTGGAAGGCCGCCTCAGCATCCGGCCCCCATTCAAACCTTGTCTTCTTCTTGATGGCCTGGAAAAAGTATAGGCATTTGTCACCTGATCGACTTAGAAATCTTCCCAAGGCCGCTAGACAACCTGTTAGCTTCTGAACTTCTCGGACGGTGTGAGGCGACTGCATGTCAATGACCGCCTACACTTTCTCAGGGTTCGCCTCTATTCCTCTCTGATTGATAAGGAATCCGAGAAATTTCCCAGACTCAACCCCAAATACATATTTCTTGGGATTAAGCATGACATGGTGCCGCCTGAGTGTGGCGAAAGTTTCTCGGAGGTCCGACAGATGATCTATCTGAAGCTTAGACTTGACAATCATATCATCAATGTATGCCTCGACGTTCCTCCTAATCTGATCAAAGAACACAGTATTTATCATTCGCTGGAAGGTGGCCGGGGCATCCTTCAGACCAAACGGCATGACCGTGTAACAGTATAACCCTTGATCAGTGACGAAGGCCGTCTTCTCCTGATCTTTCTTCCATAAAGGAATTTGATGAAAGCCAGAGTAGGCGTCCATAAAACTCATCAAAGCATGGCCGGCTGTTGAGTCGACCAGATTATCAATTTTGGGCAGAGGGTAACTGTCCTTGGGACACGCCTTGTTTAGGTCTGTGTAGTCCACACACATTCGCCAGGTACCATTCGGCTTTTTAACAAGCACTACATTTGCAACCCATTCTGGAAAGTAACATTGCCGAATGAACTACATTTACTTCGGTGGCTGCCGCCTGACTTCTCTCTTCGCCATGGTTCCGCTTTTTCTGCCTTACCGGCTTCTTTTTTGGATCCACGGCCAGTTTATGTACCGCTAGGTCAGGACTGATGCCTGGCATTTCATGGACTTCGAATGCAAAGATGTCTTTATATTCTTTCAAAAGTTGATGGAATTCTTCACCCAGAACTCTCAGAGCAGTCGTCCCAACCTTGATTGTTCGGTCAGGGCGCGAGTCGTCTACGATCAGGTCCATATGCTCACTAGCCGGCTGAGGGCGGAATTCATCTGACCGCTCCTCTACCAATAATTTCTATCTCTTCTCTTTTCTTGCGACCCCCATCTGGGCAGCCTTTCTTTTCTTGCCGCCTGCTTCTTGAGCAGGCGCACTCTCCTTGACATTGTCAGGGTCTGTTTTTCCACCACTTGACCCAGCGGCCGTGACAGTGGGTTTGATGTCCGAAAGGTAGCATTCTCGGACCATCTTCTGATCTCCCCTTAGGGAGCCGACTGTTCCGTCATCCTTCTCAAATTTGAGCAACATAAGAGACGGGATGATAACAGCCTTTGAATTATTCAGGGTTGGACGTCCTAGAATCATGTTGTAGGCCGAGAGTTCCTCAACTACCAGGAACCGGACCACCAGGTGTCGACCTTCCCCTTTTTCACCAGGCGGACGGGTAAATCCACTCGTCCTACCGGGTGGACGACTCCTCCTCCAAACCCTACTAGAGGGTGGGATACCAGGTGTATGCAGTTAGTCTGGTATTTGAGCTTTGACATAAATTTGCTACTGATGAGGTCTGAGGAACTGCCGGTACCTATGAGGATTCGGCCAACTCTCTGGTTGGCCACTTTGCATTCAATAACAATGGGGTCATCATGCGGCCCCCTCACCCCTCCTAAATCCTCTTCAGTGATGACAATTTCAGGAAATGAATATTTGGAGGGCCGTTCTTGGTGAACGGATTGACGTCTAGCCGCCTGATATTATCCTTGTTGCCCCTGATAGTGGGGCCGCCTCCTGAGAAGCCGCCTGCAATGGTGTAGACGACTGCATCATCTGTATTAGAGCTGTTAGCCTCTTGACTCTTTTCGGCCGACTGCTTTTTCGAGGAAGTGTTCCCCTTAGATTTCTTGACATAAGAGTCAAGATCGCCTTGCTCATCCAGGCGGTCCAGATACCGCATGAGACTGATGCATTCATTGGTTTCATGACCAACGTCTTCATGATAATCACAGAACTTTTCTTGGTTCCGATTGCTCGCAGAACCCTTCATGGGGGTCGGCTTCTCAATTGAGATCCGTCCCTTGATTTCTTTTAGGATAGCTTTGCTATCCTTGTTAAACACATACTTTGGGGAGTATGGTTTGAATTCCTTCTTCTTCTTCTAGGCCGGCTGTTTAGAGGAATCAGCCGCCCAGACCTCTTTTCTCTTTTTCTCATCTTTGTTGAACGACTGCTTCTGTCGTCCTTCTTTCTTGTCGAACTTTCTTCCGTCCGACTGCTTTCCAGTACTACAAAGATCAGTCGCCTGTATATAGGCTTCTGCCTCGATCAAGGCCTCTTGAAGAGTCGCCACCCTCTTTCGAACCAAATCAAATTTGAAGGTCGACCCGTCTTTGAGACCCCTGAAAAAGTCAGTATAGGCCACCTCATCTGGTAGCCCTTGAATCTGTATCCTCATCAGGTTGAACCACCTGATATAAGAACGAAGCCCCTCCTTCTCGCCCTGTTGAATTGTCCCTAAATCAAGGGTCGTCTTCTTCGCAGGTATGTTCATGGAAAAATTGAAGGTGAATAAGTAAGTAAGCGTCCTGAAGTTATTTACACAACCAGTCGGCAGGTTGCCAAACCATTGTTGTGCGATTCCTTTAAGAGTCGCTGGAAAACACTTGCACCAAGTGGGATCATCCAACCCTTGGAGGTACATCAGGTTGGTGAATGCCATTAAATGGTCTTCTAGGTTAGTAGTGCCGTCATAGGCGCCTACTAACACATTTTTCACTTTGGTCGGCTGAGCGGCTTCAGTAATTTCCTTGGAGAAGGCCGACGGCTGTTCCCCAAGTCTAAGCAACCGTAGCTGCCAGTCCATAGGTTGGACATTTTTTGTCGCCTGTCCTCCAAACAGAGGTGGCTGCTGAAAATATTGTTGTTGCGTTACAAATGGTAAGTTTGGTGCCGCCTGGTCACTATGAAAACCAGACTGACGGGAGGTACCGCCTGTCTGACTCTCATGATTTGACTGAGTATACCTCATAGAGGTATTGCGCAGACTATCTTGAAAATCTGAAGTAGAGGTCGACTCTGACAGTCGGTCGTTCTTCTTCTGCTCTAGCAATAGCCGAGCGTCTGTGTATGTTTTCTTCGACCCATCCGCCTGTATATGACGAACGGGCTTCCTCTTTCCTGGAGTAGGAAAGCGGTACTTTGTGAAATCAAGCACAGGCGGCTCCCACTTCCTAGAGTTAGGATGAGGGGTCGCCTCTCATCCTTGAACAGGCTTCCTCTTGCCTGAAGAGGAAGGTTTCTTAGCCGACTGCTCCTTAGTCAGAGCAGGCGTCTTTTTGTTGAGCAGTTCCTGAATCTCTCCCTTGAAGCCCCTCATGAAGGTCATGAGTTCTTTCCTTGTAATGGGAGCAGACCCGTCAGCCGGCTGCTGCTGAGCAGGCGGTGCACCGACTGGATCACTGAGTCCAGTTTGAGGATCTTCCCGTTCTCTCCTTTCGGTATGACGGGTACGTCGGGCCCTTAGGGTCCCGTCTGAAGCTGTATGTGCTTCAACTTCAAACTCTTCTTCAGTATCATGATCCGACTGAACTTGAGGGTCGTCCAGGGGACGCCTCTCTTCTAGAGTCGGTACAGACATGGATGCCATCTCAAAAGTACTCTCCCCACAGACGGCGCCAAAATGTTTCGGGGTTTTCTGATGTCCTGCGGGAGAGTTACAATTCCGAGACTGGAACCGGACGCCTGTACCTGCAAAACAAACGGACACTCTGAGTGGTCCAGAGATCCGCCTCCAACGGTCAAGTTAGTACTTGTTTAAGGAGTAATTAATGCGGAATATTGTAATTGGGTCTCTCTAGGTGAGAGTGTTTTTGTGTGTAATCCCCTTTAGTGAGGATTAATGAGCATATTTATATGCTTTGGGATGCGTGCCAATACCTAGGTTTAGGTTAAACCTAGAGCTGACTGGGCCTCCCACAAGGATTGGGCCTTGTTGGCCGGTTTTCCCATTTGGCATGGGTGGACACGTGTCGCGTCTCAATTGGTCCATGGAGGACGTATCTCTAATTGACACGTGGCAGGCTCCGATTGGCCTACATGAAGGACACGTGGCGGAACCTAGGTGGTCCATGTGTCAGATGGTGATTGGTGGATAAAAATCCCCTAATCAGTTATCATTACACTTTTTCTGGATAATTTCTAATATCATGATGACTCAATTCACCACAACCTCTACATAATCTCTTCTTTTTCTGGTTTTGTTCTACAGCCTTTTCTTTTTCTCCCTTCAGCCTTTTTGCACTTCTACCTCTTGTTTCAAAATTTGGCACATCAATCTCAGCCCCTTTCTTTTTTGAAGTCTCTTTATTTGATACATGAACTCCAGTCCCTTTATTCTTTGAAATTTTTGGAGGTTTGACAATTATTTTAGTTGGCACACTAGCTCCAATCAATAGCTCAATGTCTTGTCCTTTATTGTTTGCACTTCCAACTATTGTTTCATTATTTCTTGCAATCCTCTTAGCCTCCAAATCCTTTCTTATTCCTTGAAGATTTATCACAAGATCTTGAATATCTTCATCTTTTCCTTCTGCCAAACTTACACAAGTGTGTATCTCTGACCATAAATCATTTAACAATTTTTTCTTGTCAATTAAATTAGCACATTGCTCCAACAGGTTTCCACCCAAGTCAAAAATTGGTTTTTTCAGTGCCATAATAGTCCATCTGTGTATCATATACTGCTCAGGAATGGTTTCAAACCTTTTTGCTTTCCAAACCCAAATCATATCTCTACATGGAATTCCTTGTCTATAAAATATCTTGCAAGAACATGTGGTGTCATAGTTAGTTAGATTAAACACAACATCAAATGTTCTAATCCTATTTCCTTCACTTACTTTTGCAACTTCCAATCCATTTTCTTTCTTCAATTCATCAACACCACAAGAAAAACATGCAATTTCAACCTCATATTGAAATTCGTAAAAGACAGAGTTAGTATATAAATGTGAGGCATGCTTTTCTATCCCTAGTGGTGGTTTTGCGCTCAGGATATTTGTGCTTTGAATGATTATCATTCTGACCTTGAGTGTGTCTCTGAGCATCAATTGCAGCTTCATATCTCAAGTAAAACTCAACAAGTGACACATGAGGATTGATAAAGGAGCAGAAAAAGTTGTTTTCACTTTCAGATCTTGATGTTGTACGCATTATTCCTCCAAGAAACACATCTCTGGAATACGTCGAAATCCACTTGTCCCTTATCTTGTACATATAACCTAACCACTCATGATATTCCAAGTGGTATTCAACCATCACCTTGTTCCACCTTTCTTCAAACTCAGCGGGTTCAATTTCAAGATGCCAAATGCAAGCACATATTTTTTTTAGGAAACCAGTTTCTTCTTGCATGATTGATTTCTCCACCTTATCTGGTAACTTTTTCATTATGTGCCACATACATAACCGATGTTCAGTCTTCTTAAACACACATTTAACAACTATTTTCATTGCTGGATCCTAATCCGTGATCATACAATTAGGTTCATTCCCACCTATTGCCTTGAGAAATAATCTGAACAACCACTCAAATGACACAATATCTTCCTTTGCTATGAAACCAGCAGCAAAAGTAATGCAGCTCTTATGATGGTCAACCCCTGTAAATGGAGTAAACATCATGTTGTACCTGTTTATACATATAGATTAAATTTTGAGTAAATAATTCAATGCTCATTTGTGAAATAAACAAACAATTCTTTGCTCTTGTTGTCAAATGAGCAAATAATTTAATGCTCATTTGTCAAATGAGCAAATAACTCAATGCTCATTTGTCAAATGAGCATATAATTGAATGCTCACTTGTCAAATGAGCAAATAACTCAATGCTCATTTGTGAAATAAGCAAACAATTCTTTGCTCATTTGTCAAATGACAAAATAATTCAATGCTCATTTGTCAAATGAACATGCAATTCAATGCCCATATACATACTCTTATCAAAGAAAATTAGACTTATGGGGATATTTACTTTTCACATTGAAGTAAGCAAACAATTATTCTAAGTTCATTTAAAACAAAGTCATTAAGTTAAGATATAGTTATAACATAGAAATAAATTGTGATTATTATGTATTACCTATTGGTTTGGTATGTGGTATCAAAGGGTACCATATCACCAAATAGAGCATAACTCTTTTTACAAAGGGGGTATGCCCACAATGCTCTACAAAGGCAATAATCTTCATCCATCTCAAAATCAAAGAAAAAAGCACTCCACATTAGCTTTTTGTTGGTAAAATTATCCACGGACATTTGAGCATCGCTTCCTTGAATGTATGCTTTTAAATCTCTATGAAATTTTTTGAAATCTTGCTTAGATGCACCAATGTTATCATATCCTCCAACAATTTATTTCATCATTCAAAAAGTTGTAACGGGACCAATATTCACCTATTTAAAGAACAAAACAGTTTGTCAAAAGAGCAAACAATTTAATTCTCATTTTTCAAATGAACAAACAACTTTTATTAAAACATATAGAGAATTCATGAAACATAAGAGTGTCTATTTAGAACAAAAAAATTTATATAAATACAAAAGTTTTTGAAAGTGTTACCTTAGAATTATTCACAATTATTTTTTTGTGCAAAATGTTCATTTTTCTCCCCTCTTTGTGAAATAGATTGCAGCTAGGTGTATAAAGTGGATGTGTATGTCCCTCATGGAATTGTGTCACCATGTATTTGTCATCATCACAATGCTTTAGTACCACGTGTGCTTTGCATCCAACACGGGTGACTAGTCTTTTCCTTGTGATTGAAGCCTTTTTTTCATTGTTTTCTTCTTCTTTGTCATCTAAATTTATCTCAACATTAGGCTTTCTCTTCTCTTTGTAACCCTCTTTATTGCATAATATATATTGCATTGTCAATTTTTTGCTTCTTTTTTCCGTTCTAGTGGTAGACTTCCTTGTGTTGAATCCTGCAGAATATGCATAAGCTTTATAAAATGCAAGACCCTCATCAACGTTATTAAACTTCATCCCTAAAGCTGGTTTAATTTTAACTCATTGGAGCATAATGGAATCCATTCTTTTGTTCCTCCGGGAGTTACCAAAGGCGCTACTTTAGGAGTAACTACTACTGTAAGAGTAAATGGCATGCCATTCGCACTAGTATCACTATTACACTGTTCGTTGTTGCTAATTATTTCTACAGAATATTACAAAAATAAAGTTAAGAACATAATAAAGTAGAATATATAGCAAGTCAATAACACAGTAAAATATAAAACTAAATAAGAGAAGAGGGGGAGCAGTAGAAGGGTGGCAGCAGTTAGGGAGCAGTAGCAGGGGGGAAAAATAAGGGGTTGAATAACAGAAGGTAGACTATGTTCTATACTACAAAGTATGACATGTAAGAGCTCCCAATTTGATTTTTGTTGACTATGATATATTTGATTTTTGTCATTTCTCACCATCTTCTTTACACCATACCATCACCACCACCACCAAACTCTGTCTCCTTTCTCTTCCTCTGCACCCTACCACCACCAGCAGCATCACCACAACCTGTGTCACTCTCACTCCCCTACCACCGCCACTGTTCCCTGCACCCTACCATCACCAGCTTATTTTTCTCATTTGCTCATTTTTGTATTTGCTAATTTTTTTTTTGGTATTTGCTCATTTTAATTATGTTTGGTCATTATATTTTTTCTATATTATTTCACATATTTAGGAAATGAACAAATAATTGAATGCTCATTTATCAAATGAGCAAATAACTCAGTGCTCATTTGTGAAATGAGCAAATAAGTACTTAGGAAGAACAACCCCAACAAAATAAACTATCCTAGCAGCAGCAACAAGATGCAACAATGATATCACTATATCAAAGACCATTGAACATGACTGCCTATACCACCTCCATCAACTACAATCTTTAATCACTACTATTAAACATGAATGCGAAAACAAAGATTATAGGTATTTGCAATGTATCGATATGAAATCATAGCAATAGAAACCGACAGTAGTACATCTATAATAAAGCACCAAACATAGCACCAAACCGACAGTAGTACTCTCTAATTGGTTTATTATTAGAATTTCAAGTGGCTAACAACTTATAAGTTGAGAGAAGCCATGCTCATTATATTTTTTCTACATTATTACACATATTTAGGTTTGCTCATTTTCAATTTATTTGCTCATCTTAAATTTGATTGCAAATAAGAACCTAATAACATAGGAGTATAATAACATCATTCGTAAATAAGAACATAATAAGAACATTGTAATGAATATTCTAACCATAAATATAGTACTGAATTTAATTCGGAATAAAAATTAAGCCATTGTCAATGATCGTACAACTCCATTCTTTGAATAACTCAAATAATGCTTCAATTTCATTCACCGTAACAAATTCGAAAACTAGATCACAAAAAAATAAAATTGTTAAATGAAATTCATCAAATTCCAGAAACTTACATTGAGATTCACGAGCAAGGCAAGTGAGGTCGGTAAAATCGAAATTATGATTGAACTTATCAAAACTGGAAGAAGATGATTTGAAATTATCAAAATTACAAAAATCAGAACAAGAAGTTTGGGAATTCAATTGAAATTATCAAAATTAAAATCAAATTAAGAGAAATTCGAATAAGAGAAATCAAATACTACTTGAAATTATGCAGCAGCGAAGAAGAGGAGAGAGAAATCCCACCTTCAAGCGTTGAAGAGAGAGAAAGAGGAGTATACAAAATTGTACGGGATTTGGGGCTGATTTGTTTATTTTGAGAATTACATTATTGCCATTATTAGTGGAACAATCTCGGTTGTTGGATTAATACAATCTAATGGATGAGATTTGTTCTCACATATGGGATAAGTTCTCACATAGCAGGTTGTTCTCACCGGATCCCGACCCTATATATATATATATATATATATATATATATATATATATATGAAATTATTATACAACACATAATTCTCACTAAATAGCTGGAATATTATTTGCTATTATCTCTTCTAGGGAACCAAAATGAAAGGAACTCTGTTTGAGAATCAGATCCAAGAGTATGGACACATCTTCCAGAAAGACAATGTTTATCAGATTTCTAATGCACCATTAGAATCTGTAAAATCAAAATATAAAGACTGGGATGGTGAGTGCTCCCTTAGATTTGGAAAACAGACAATGGTGCAACCTATTGCCACTGAAATAATCCCAAACAAAGCGCACTATATGCCTCTTGCCTCAGTCTCATATGACAGTGACCTAGATGATCGCTATGGTATTCTATACACTAATCACTCTTGAATTTCTATAATAATTTTAGAAATTGTTTTGGTAACTAAGTTATTGCACATGATAAACACAGATATCCTAGGTCTAGTGCTCTTTATCAGTGACATAAGAACAATAACAAGTGAGCAGGGCATTGAACATCCAGTTCGAGACATAAGTGTGATAGACCACAAGTCTGTACATGTTTCGTTATATTAATACTCCAATTTATAACATTACATGAATTACTTAAACTAAATTTTTCATCTCTCAATGCTTTATTTAAATTTGCTGCACTACCAAGCCAATGACTATCTCTATAAGGGATGATCTCAAAGAGATTAAAGATCCTAAGCTCCTTGCATGGGCGACTGAACCAGTTATAGTTGGTTTCTTAGGGTTAAAAGTGGCAACAAATAGAGGTGTTTCGGGGTTTTTTGATGTCCTGCGGGAGAGTTACAATTCCGAGACTGGAACCGGACGCCTGTACCTGCAAAACAAACGGATGTTCCGGATGATTGGAGATCCGCCTCCAACGGTCAAGTTAGTGCTTGATTAAGGAGTAATTAATGCGGAAAATAATGTAATTTAGTCTCTCTAGGTGAGAGTATTAAATGTGTGTCGTCCCCTTTAATGAGGACTAATGAAGGTATTTATAACCTTGGGAAGCGTGCCACCTTCTAGGTTTAGGTTAAACCTAGGGCTGACTGGGCCTCCGACAAGGATTGGGCCTTGTTGGCTGATTCTCCCATGTGTCATGGGAAGGACACGTGTCGCGTCGCGGCTGGTCCATGGTGGACGAATATATGGTTGACACGTGGCAGGCTCCTATTGGCCCATGAGGCGGACACGTGGCGGAACCTGATTTGTCCACTTGTCAGATGGTGATTGGTGGATAAAAATCCCCTAATCAAGAGGTAGACCTAATTATGCCCTACTATGCGCTTACATTAAACCGCAATACAAGATTCACTCTCTCAAGCAGTCTCTCCACAACTTTTGACACCAACCCTACTGGAGAAGAATTCATAGCTTTCCGAGACTAGTAAACTATTGTTCACTATACACAAATCTATTTGAATTGGCCATACAATATTACTAATATTCTGTTACATAACACTGTTTTCAAGGGTGATGGAAAATAAATTTGAGCTTGCAAGCAAGATGACACAATTGCCGTATAAGAATCCAACTACAGAGAAAAGCATCCTA